TGTGTGTGTGTGTGTGTGTGTGTGTGTGTGTGTGTGTGTGTGTGTGTGTCTTTCGTAGGCATCCTCTGTTCCCTCTGTTGGCCCTGCTGTTTGAGAAGTGTGAGCAGTCCACGCTGAGCTCTGATTGCATCACCTCAGCGAGCTTTGATGTGGACATTGAGAATTTTGTCCGTAATCAAGAGAAGGAGGGGAAGCCTTTCTTCAGTGAAGACCCTGAACTTGACAACTTGGTGAGACATTGTTGCTTCAGAAAGCTAAACCTTATTTCACAGCATTTATGTTTGTACATGCAGAGGGCTGTGTAACCTATCCGAACACGCTTGCATATTGTCTTCCAAACAACCAACAACTTGGAGCTCAGCAGGGATGTCGATACACCGATTGGTTGAAAAGAAAGGGAGTAACAGAAGGTCAACACAAACCACAAAAACTAAACTATAATAAAAGATAATCGAGAACAGCATGAAAGGCTTTAGTGGACACTTTTCATTGTTTTCACTTCAGCTCTTTGTTTGTTGATTTCACTTCTCTCTGAAGGGCCAGCAACAGTAGAAGCCCACAGACTTTTGTGACAGTAAACAGCTACAGGGGCCAGAATTGGCCTGTTAAAGACTGCCCACGGGATGGCTTTGGAAATGTGAAGGAGGGCATAAATTTGAGACTTTTTTAGGTGTATTTTCCTTCTGAGAAAGACCTTGTGACCATTCATGCTACAACAAATAAGTAGTAATTAAATCTTCACAGGGTGGCATCGTGCTGTATTGTAATTCTGTGCTGTGATCGGAAGCGACTGTCATAACTGGACCTGACCTTTGACCTCCCTGTAATGCCCTCAGGTAAACATTTGTTAAACAGAAAGATGTTGAGCCTAAGAACTCTTTCCATTCCTTCTATCTGAAGATGGTGAAAGCCATCCAGGTGCTGCGGATCCACCTGCTGGAGCTGGAGAAGGTGAGCGACCTGTGCAAGGACTTTTGCAGTCGCTACATCGCCTGCCTCAAGACTAAGATGAACAGTGAGACTCTGCTGAGTGGTGACCCGGGAAGCCCATACTCGCCTGTACAAGGCCAGGCCCAGAGCTTCTCACCCACCAAGTCTCAGGTATGCAGTGTAGGTGAACTGCAGGCGTCACCACCAAATGCCTCAGGTGAAGAGTTGGCTACCACTGATCAGTGCCCCTGCTGGGGTATATTAGCCAGCTAAATGGGAATACTTTAAAAATGGCGTTATAAGAGTTAGCAGCATGGAAAACATACATGCGCCTACTTTATGTATGCATGCTCTATTACACAGACCCCCAGCTCCATATCAGGGACCATTAGTCCCCAGGGTCAAATTGTAGTTCCAGCATCGGCCCTGCAGCAAGGAAACGTTACCGTGACAACTGTCAACCCCACCCAGGTGGTCGCAGGTATGTCATCTTGGCGTACGACCCCTTCCTCAGGTACTGCACTAATGACTGTAGCCCAGATATTCACATGTACCAACAGGACTCTGATTGAGTCTTCTGCACTCAGCTGAGCAGGTTAGAAAATTGTGTGTTTGTATTTCAGGCGGGACTGTGTACCAGCCAGTCACAGTCGTAACTCCTCAGGGCCAGGTGGTAACACAGGCTCTTTCTCCCGGGACAATACGCGTCCAGAACAATCAGGTAATACATCTGTCTATGTTGCTGCCGTGCTATTAAGTGGAATCCCTGTCATTGAATTTTACTGCTCCCACTTGTGGTTCCTAGAGTATTTAAAAGTAGAATGAGAGGCAGAGTAAAAGTTAATTGAACTAAATGAAGACAAGCTTAGAGGTGTTGGAGGGCTTCATGTTGTAACTTTGTTCTATAACAATGTAACAACAACCTTTGCTGCGTATTGACTATGGCAGATAATGTGTTGTCTGCTCCTAATATCAAATGGTGTAGCTTTTTAAGATCGGTGCCCTGTCATTAAGGGCAAATAATTCAAAATTAGAGCTGAGGTCCTTGGTTAAATGATGTGGAACAGTATTGTAATTTAACATAACCTTTCATTCTGTTGAGATAATTAAAAGATGGCTAAACAAACATCTGTGTACTCAGCTTCAGCTGCAGTTTCACCAGGACTTGAACCTCTTTAGTCATGAGGACAACTCAACCAAGAACAAGCGCGGCGTTCTTCCAAAGCATGCCACAAATGTCATGCGCTCATGGCTCTTCCAGCACATCGGGGTGAGTCTCTGTGCATAAATCATCTGCCTGTATAGAACTCAAGTCCTTACAAAATAGTGATGCATTTCAACCCTGTTCTGTTGTGCAGCATCCGTATCCCACAGAGGATGAAAAGAAGCAGATTGCTACTCAAACAAACCTGACACTTCTGCAGGTCAACAACTGGTGAGTTGCTCTTTATCCCAAGAAAATACTAACTACATCACTATTTACAGTCATGTTTGTGATGGCAGGCAATTTTCCACTAATTGTTGTAGTATAATTGGTCAGCCAGGTAATTGTGCAGGGCTTCCTGCGATCAGCTGAGGGTTTCTTCTTTGCTCATCTCGTTTCACTTTTCACTGATGAAACTCTGACTTGTTCCCATAGTTTGCCATTTGACCTCTCTGCTTTTTTGCCTAATGAAAACAAAACAAAAAAGATGATATTTAACTTTGCCCTAAGTTAATAACTGCAACTTCTTTAAGTAAAGGTGGGAAGTGTCACCTTTTTAGCTAAGTTTAAGGAGGTTACGGTGTATTTAATATGTACAGGACAGCAGACAGTTCCTATTCTTTGTGTCCTTTGAGTCAGGGTGTGTAAAATCCAGCTAACCATACAGCTGTCCATACCTGACAGTGAGCCTAATCAGCACCTGTTAGCATTTGAAGTGCAAAGGTCTGTACAGCCAGCATCACCCTGTGTCTGCAGGTTTATAAATGCACGGAGACGGATCCTGCAGCCCATGTTGGATGCCAGCTCTTCAGAGACACCCAAAGCCAAGAAAAAGACACCTCAAAACCGGCCACTGCAGCGCTTCTGGCCTGATTCCATCGCAGCAGGAGGAGGGGCCATGCCTGATGGTAGGCAGCACAACACCATATCGAGATGCTTTCGTTGTTGTACTTGGCCCATATATTAGAGTTAATGCAGAGAAACAAACACTAGTCAATGTAGTGATACCAGCAGACTTCCTGTCCGCTGCTGCTGCTGCTTAACAAACTGTTGTTCTAGTTTGGCAACAAATGTCATCACTGTATCACAAATGTTGCTGCTTTCAACAAATTGCTGACAATGTCACTAGGACTGCAACATTTCACAACTTGATTGTTTAAAAATCCTTGACACAAATTGTTTGATTCAATGCTTTAATGTACAGCTCTGTAGCACTCAGGTGTCACTATTAAGTAGCTTAATGTGGAAAGTACAGAGGAGTTGGTACTGTTACAGAGACGGTGCACTCAGGTAGAGAAAAAAAGATTTTTCCAGCATCCAAAACAACAGTGCTGTCGCTATGACAGGAAGTTTTACTAGGAAAAAGCTGGCAGGAGTTCTTGAGCAAACCCACCTGATCAACAAGCTCCAGCATGAAGAACAGCGAACTTTGTAAGCTGCTCTGGCCACCCCCGTTTGTTTTACACGGCAAAAAAATCTGGACTACAGACATTAAACAGATGAACTAAAGACTCACTGCTGCTCTAATTTGGTGGTCCAACTTAAAACCAAGATCAGTAACAACAGGTTTAAAATAGATTTCCAGAGGTCCCAAATCTACAGAGGACGACTTGCAGGGACCACTAGGTCCAAACACCAACAACTCTGTTTTATTTTCATTAAAATTTAAAAAGTTTAGAGCCAACCAAGCTTTAATGTCATCTAGACATGTCAAGAGAGGTTTTATGGAGATGCCACCTTTCTGCTTCAGTGGCAAATAAATTTGGCAGTCATCGGCATAACAATGAACTGCGATCCCATGCCTTCTAAGGATGGAACCCAGAGGCAATAGATACAATAAAAAGAGCAGAGGCCCCAAGATTGAACCCTGTGTCCCACAGGCCGCATGACAGAGGAGCAGAAGATGATTCGGAACCGAGAAGGCTGACAGAGAAAGTTTCTCTAAAACCTTGGAAACTAAAGGCAGCTTGGAAATAGGCCTATAGTTCGCTAAAACTGTGTGATCAAGGCCAGGTTTCTTAAGCAGTGGCTGCACTACTGCATGCTTGAAATTTGCAGGAACCACACCAGAAGGCAGACTGCTATTAATAATTTCAAGGACATACTGTCATATACTAGGAAAAATTTCTTTAAAAAATTGTGGAGGAAAAGGATCCCGAGTGGAACCTGTGGGCTTAATATGGCGAACCACAGTCTCTAAAGTGGAGAGCATCACAAGCTCAAACTGAGTGAAAACAGCAGTGCGAGGGACAGAGACAGAGGGTCAGAGTCAGGAGCTGTGATAAGAACCCTGGTGGTGACAACCTTTACAATAAAAAAGTTAAAAAATCATTGCAAATATCAGGAGAAACTTCCAAACAGACATTCAATGGAGTATTTAGAACAGTGTCAATGGTCCTAAATAACACACGTGGGTTATGACCGTTGCAGCAGGAACAAACTTGGCAATGACAGACGAGCAGCCACACACACCGGCGCCATCTTGTCAATCCCAACTTAGTCTGATACAGTTTGAGTTTAAACAAAGATGCTGAAGGCTCACAGCAGCTCTTCTACTTCATATAGTGAGATGAAGGAGGGCATGAGGTGCAACAGACCATATTTATTTCAAGGCTGCAAGGCAGATTGAAACAAATACAGTTTTAATTCAACAAAAACAAAACTGTAAGATCATATTGGACGTGTGTTTTACATGATACAGCAGAATAAAAGCACACAAAGCAAACGTTTGTCATTTCCTGGAAAACAACGAGACATGTTCATGACTCGTGTCGGGAGTTTCCAGCCACAGCTTTTCCCTTCTGACTTTTTTGGTAATAAGCTTTTAAAAAAACTGTCTCAATATTTTAGGTACAATGGTGACGATGAACGTGGAGGGTCTGCAGAGCCTGACATCAGACGGTGCCACGCTGGCAGTACAGCAGGTGATGCTGGGAGGCCACAGTGAAGATGAGTCGGGGGACAGCGGAGATGAGGACAATGACGCGGACATGGCAGGGCTGGGCCTGGACAATAGCAACTCATTGCAGTAGAGGACAAGCACCGCCCACATGCAGAGGACACACAAAATGAGTTCGACAGAACAGAGGTGCGTCCGTTTGATTTCCACAGAGCACAGGACACACTGGGATGGACCCTGCACTCTTCCAAGCCTCCACCCTGCTGAACGGCGGTTGTTGCTGCACGTGTATGTCAGGAGTGTCATTTCACAAACAGTTTTTTATTGTATAAATGATGTAGGTGAGTGCACTTTTTGTATATTTAAGCTCAAAAAGATGAAATCAAACTGAAAAAAAAACAAGTGTTAAAAACACCTGAGACAAGTTTGTATACTCCGTTAATAAACGTTGACTTTTTTTGTCCCCGCCCCCGTCCCCCCCTGCTCCCAGCTAGATTGTCATTTTGGATGAGACCACTTCTGTCTTGTTCTTGTGTCTCTGGTTTGTCTTGACTTTTGCATGCTTGTGTTTTAAGTAGACGTGTGTGCTCTTATGACTGACTCCATGGCTCACACTGCCCCCTGCAGGCAGAGTAGAGCACAGGTGGAGAGATTAAAAGTAAATTAGAGGAGAGATGCTTATTTTTCTATACAAACATATGAAATGAGTGTTTTTTTTTGTTTGTTTGTTTTTTGGTTTCATTTTTGTGTTCTCCTGTTTTGTAAGAAATATTTATGTACAGATTCATAATAAATGCTGTGACCCTGTTTTCCAGGGTTCTTTTGAAGTTTTCTAAAAAACAGAAAAAGGAATTGAATGCTGATGAAAATTACTATTTAAATTGGTTTTAAGCTTAAAATATTAACAAGGCCTTATCTGTGTTCTTTTCTAAAATAAATCTTACCAAGAAGCACAAAAAGGAAGTATGACCCTTGGAGAAATTGGCCAAAAAGACACTAAACAATGGAACACTTGTGGCTCCATAAAGCATATTTTTACTTTGTGTACTGCAGTATCACAGGAACCCTCTCCAGCAGCAAAGCGACTGCAGCGTTCCCGTCTTTGTTTGGCCCACAATGTGTATACCATACATTGTCTTTTAACCATTTTACAGTAGTAGCATAGGTGTCACTTTCTAAAATGCACAATCTAGAACACTATGCTAACCACACAATCAGGAGGGGTTACGGACTCCATCAATAAGAAGCAGTGGACTTTTTGCACGCATTTAGCTTTTATTTTATGCACACGCTACATACATGCTGTTGCATTGAAAACAGAGCAGCTGGAAACTTGGAGTCATTGCCCTCCTGAAGGGCTGCAGCTGCGACCATGAACCCCCGCCCCACTACACACACACACACACACACACACACACACACACACACACACACTGAAGGATCTGAAAGCTCCATCAGTTTGACATTACTGCACATATTGGGGTGCCTCTTGTTTAAATAACTGTAATGCTGTACTGTAAAACAGTTGTTTGTAAGTAGTTGCAGTAACTTGGTTTTTATCCTTCTTGTAAAGTTAACTTTGTTCATTTGATTCAGCCTGAGGGTTTAATGGCTACGCGTTGCCCTCGCTGAACTCTGTCACCTCTGTCTAGCTTTTTATGAAGCATTCACTTTTCTCTTGTACTTCTCGCTCGTCTGTTTTGCCTTAGAGCTTTCTATTTTGGAATAAATTATGCCTAACTCTGCTGTCCACTGTCTCTTTACTCTTTTTCCGTCATGTTCTCCACCAGACAGGACTGCTTCAAAGTCTCTGTGATAATGTGTACAGTTTGTCTCCACAGGTACTTGTTGCCAAATGTGGAGACATGTGGATAGTCCGGTGAGAAGTCACTGTGGGGGATTCAGTTTCCTGTTTTCAGAGCCTCTTCTTTCTGAAATGTACAGAGACGCTTATTAATACATAAAATGCACTCGATATGTTTTAAAACATGCAGTTTTATCTTTACTCCAGGCTGCAGTGCTCAATTTGAAATCCTTGTGGCTTTGCACAAATGTTAACCATGTTCCTAAACACCAAGAATCACAGACCTTAATGGCTGTTGCTCTGAAGTCTGTACTCGTGAAGACATTTGAGCATCTGGTACTATATCATCTCAGATCTATCACTGACCCTCATGTGGACCTCCTTTTCACTTACAGAGCCAGCAGGTCAGTAGGTGATGCTGTTAACATGGGACTGCACTGGAACCTATGCAAGTGACATTTCTTAGTACTGCTTTGAATACAATCATCCCGCCTCTGCTGCAGGACAAGCTCCCCAGCTGATTCTTCCTGCTCCCACCTGCACTTCCTGTCTGACAGCAGGCAGCATACGAGACTGGGCAGGCACGTCTCAGACTTCCAGTGCATCAGGGCTGTGTACTTTCTCCTCTGCTATTCTTCCTGTACACAGGGTTCGTACGGGTGCTTGAAATCCTTGAAAATGCTTGAATTTTAATGTTGTCTTTTCAAGGTGGAAGTGTAGCTGTATTTCATTCACCACAAATAACTATGTGATTGAATAGTTTTCTTATCAGATAGAGAAATAAAATGAGTCGCAAAATGTAAAAGCAAATTTTCCCCGCCTGGCTGCCTTGCGTCTGTTTCAACGTGTGACCCCGCCCCTCCCTCGGACAGTCGGGGATGAGTGCGCTAACATACCTGTAGGTCGCTGTTTTAATGAGTTTTTGATGGAAAACAACAATGGTGGAGTTTGCGCTCTCCAGTCGCATGATAGGTGAGTCCTAGTAAATAATTTTCCAGTACGTGTACGTTACACATGCTATTTTTTAAAATTATGATTATTATTACTATTTATACAACAGTGGTGTTTACTCCGGGAAGAAACGGTAAAAACGGCGTTTTCTAAGGAGAGCGTTAGCAGACACGCTTTGCTTGTGAGTGAAAAAAGAAAAGGAAAAAACACACTCCTTCCCTATTGGTGGAAAAATGTACCACGTCGACCAATCAAAAAATGATATGGCAACATGTGGCATCTGGTTGTTTGGGAAGAGGGGGAAGTTTTAGGAGTGACCGGTGTTCCAGATCTACTGGCGTTTAGATCAACTGGCGTTGGT